TCTGCCGCCGCCCCCTCGTCTCGCCCTCACCTGTGGCAACGAGCGGCCGGGACCCCGGCGCCGGCTGCGCTCCGGGAGGTGCGGCCGAGCCCACTCCCTCCTGTCACGCGTTTTGCTTCTCCTTTAACAGTGCCGAGTTCTCACTGCCACGCGGTTACAATACTATGTTTCTTTTCCTGCAGTGGACCGCAGTTCGAAGAGGAGACAAGTGAAGCCTTTGGCAGCTTCGCTGCTGGAAGCTTTAGATTATGATAGCTCTGATGACAGTGATTTTAAAGTTGGAGATGCTTCAGGTAAATATGCTTCCTCATCTCCTCGGTTCAGAATTGGTTAATTATTGTTTTATGGTTGCTCATTTACTATCAAATGGGAGACTGAATGCTATTTGTGACCTGTTGGGACTTGGAGGCACCAGAAGTTCAGTGACTTGATTTGATATCTGGAAATTCTTACATTGCAGATAAGAAATAACTGATTAAACAAAAGTCCATGTAGTATGTCAGTTGAAATAAATTTTTCATCAGCAGAAAACTCATGATTAGCACACAAGTTTTGGTAGAAGCATTTGAATAGGTTCTATTGCCTTGTATTTCTTCTATGTAGAGATAATTTTTGAAATGCTCACTACATTTATTATTGAAATAAGAATGTTCTCAAACCATTTTGTTTTGAATCAGTCTGGATAATAGTTTATTGTGGACTTAACCTGCCTATTTCTCAAGTTTAATTCCACGTGGGGAGTGAAGACCTTAAGCAGAAAGAACATCTGTTCAGGTCTTTATTGTTTTTTACAGTAAAGTGTCCATTCAGGTAGCAATGGAGAAAAGTGTATGCATTTCATACTAGAAGGTTTGCCTCAGAGTGTTTTTGTTCTGCAGTCTTTTCTATGTGTGCAAGATTCCTTTGTCTTCAGTGAACATCCACAGAAACTGAAAGCAGACAAGTTGCCCAAGTAAAACTAATAAATTCAGGTATATTGGAGGGAAGGGAAAGAAGGGACAGGACCATGTTTGTGAATAAAGCACACATTGGATGTTCTGTGGGGACATCAGGTAAACAACCAAAGACATGCAGGATGTATGAAATGTAAGGGAAACATTAGGACAGCTTGTCCAATAACTTCACTTTGTTATTTCTGCACTGGTGACACTGATCTATGTCTCCATATGAATGTATCATGCAAAAATATTCTTCATCTCTTTTTAAAGGCTTATTTTTTTTTGCATTTGGCAAACTCCTCTTTATTAGTGAAATTAAAAATGCTTAATAATAATTTCTCCAGCACCAATTTTAAGATATGCCCCAATGCTTCTTGTTTTTTTGGTTTGGTTTTTTTTTCCCTCAGGCATAGACATATTTCCCTTGATTGGTCTGGTAGAAGCAGGCTGCAATGACTTAAGAGAGTAAAATTGATTGTCTTACCAACTTCGTGCTAAGATTTTTGGGGGCTTGTTTCATTTTTTTTTTAATCTTGTTTTGGGAATTTTTTATCCTTTCTTTGAGTAAGGGCACTGCCTTTTGTAAAGATAATTTGCCATAAAAAGAAGTGATTTTCATTACCCAAAGAAGATCTCCCTATTCTGCAACAGCAGTGTAGGCAGCATGTAAGGGAGAAGGAGAATTGGAAATTTGAGTATGGGAACTGGACACATAATTTGGAGCAATATATTATTTGGTTAAAAGACAATCATTAACTAATTAAGAATAATGAATAAAGCTCCCTGACTCAACTATGTCTAAAGGCAGAGGGTTAATTTGTGATTGATATCCTCTTTGACTTTTAGGATATTGTATGTACCCATGGTGGGGCTTCAGTGTCTAGCCTTGAGAGTATTTCAATCTCATTTTAATTTTGAGGAAGCTGGCTGGGTTTTCTCTTAAAAAGCAAAACTGAATTGAAACAAGCCTATGAGAAAAACCCAAGTTCTGCTTATAAAATGTTTTTCTGATTACTGTTTTGTGTTCATATATCTCACGTAGTGTTGTTTTAACAGGTCAGAACCTGTATCTATGATTTTTAGAAATTAAAGTTCCGTTTGTTAAAAGGTAAAAACTAGCGAAAACACTGAAACAGCAGCAGGACTTGACATTTTCCACTTTATTAAAAGATTTTTAATGTGAAAGGAGAAAGTTGTGAGGATTTGAAGCAGTTGACAAATGAAAGTTATTAAACATGTAACCTCTTAAGTTGAAAGAAAAAATAAACATTTCTTATGTGTAATACAAGTTAAATGAGTAGTTGCAGTATATTTGAAACAGAACATCTGTGCTGATTTAAAATGAAGCTGGTATAGCACAGCCTAAAATTTGTACCTGATCAATTTAGATTCAGGTGGAAATGCTGAAATAAAAGGATTATTTTTTTTTATACACACATATATAAATAAAATTGTTAATTGCAGAGTTGCGTATATATATAAGATTCTATGTGTACACACACAAACTAGACTACTAGACAGATTCTGGATTGTTGCTAACCAGGTTTTCTTTTTTTCACTGTGGATTTATCCTTCAATGCATAATGTGTATTTCTCTGGTACAGTCAGGGCTATTGCTTTTTTTTCCTTCTTTCAATGACTGTAGAGGTCTCTCCATGTTCATCCTGTTGGAAATCAGTATTTAGCACTTCTTGGAATTGAAAATTTCATTGTGTAGTTTGCTTAAAAAGAGAAATAAATGTGACAGAAGGAATAACCTTTCTACATTGAAAATGACCATAACTTTCACTCATGCACTCGGAAAAATCCCGTAAGTATGATAATTGCACAGCTCTGGAATGTATGTTTATTTGACTCATAAATGCACTTACAGGTGTTTATAAAAATAAACCAAAAAGTTAAAGGACTACTTAAAGACTGAATTAAAAGAATTCTGAAGTTGTTTACTGCTTGTTGATTATGTTGCCATCCATATGTATGTGCTTTATGATGTTAAGTGATATGTACTGGCAGACAGTATTGTATAAGTCTAGGAGGACTGAGCCCTGAGCAGTTAAACTTTTACAGATATTTATTATTCCATCAGATATCTGAGCATATTAGATAAAGTAAGAACTTCAGAAGATGGTATTAAGTACTTTTAGGGAAGAAACAGCATTTCTGAATTTCTGTATTCAGAGTCCTGATGCCTTTAAATTTTTTTCACTGCAGAAAATACTTCTAACCACATAACCTCCGTCTCCACCCAAAAAAACCCTGTAGGAGATATGCCTTTACTTACAGTGTACTTAATCTCTTCTCTTTTGAATTTAGGTCACACGAGGAGGCAGTTACTGACTTTTCCACTTTAAAGATCTCACTGTTCTGACATCTCTTTAGGGAAGCTATCTTTATATTTTTATATTGAAAATTTACTTAATGTAAATAGTTTTCAGGCCTGTGGGCTTTTCATCATTAATAATGAATGAAGTAATTTTTTAATGGCTTCTCTGTTTCTACACAGTAGGAAGCAATAATACCATATTTTAAAGTACTGTGTTTTTCTGCATTTTATAAAAATCTTAACAAATTAGTTCCTTAGGAGTGTCATGTGCAATCTTAGTGTGGAATTCATCAAAGAACCCTGTCCCTTTGGAGTCAGAGCATACACATATCTGACTTGAAGTGGTGGCACTGTAATATACTCAACTGAAATTTTTAATTGTGTGTCTCATAATACAGATCAATTATCTGAAGTTTTGCTTTCAAGTTAACTGAAACCTACTTTGATTTTTTTGTTGTTACGTTTTGTTGTTTAATGAGAGCACTTGGGGTTATGCTCGTGTCAGAAATAAGTGTATAGTTGTAGAGTACTTCCCAGCAAGATTGCAAAACAAGGATTTACTACTTCTTTCTCATTGGTGTGGTCGGTCAGTTTTGACAGATCGTATACTGATGTTAAAATCACGCAGAGAAACGTGGTGTGATCCCTGAACAAGAATGATGTGTGAATATAAGGACTGACTATCTCTGTCTAGCTAAGAATGTAGCTGAATGCTGCCTTGAAGAGCTGGAATCTGTCACCACTTTTGCTACAAGTCTCATAGACTCAGATTTTTATGGACATTTGTAAATGTTTGTTTTTTTGGTGTTGAGTGTGGAGCCTGGCTTGCATAAATATTATGTATTATTATGGTAATTGAGGTTAGTAGGAGCTCTGTTTAAAACCTGTAATGATCTATATAAATGCATATATAAGGTATTCTGAAAAACCTGTGACTTGACCTAGAAATAAAAAGTTGTAAATATCTCTATATTTCTGTAATTTGTTTCCTCTTAGCACAATGGAGATTCCACTTTTGCTTTTCTGTACAGGATATTGTAATATAAAGAAAGGTTTGAGAAGCAACAAAACACTGTAGTGATAAACAGTACTGAAATATTAATGAAGAAACTAATATGTATGGTTTTGAGAATAAAATTGATATGCCACAGAAAAGCTGTAGGGTGTTTCAGTAGACAGTGGAGGTAAGAGAAAATATTGAATAGCTAATAATTAGTAAATTGTAACATGATTGCAGAATCTTAATAGTTACAATCATTGCAAGGCTCAACTTTGCAACTGTCATGTCTAGTCCCTCAGAGTAGAACTCCCAGAGGAATAATGTAAGAAAACTAGGCTTTTGTTCCAGTGTGTCTGGGCAGGGATGACATTATTTTTCTTTGTTTCCCCCCTGCTGTGATTCTTTGTGCCTCGGCTTTCCAGTCTGTCTGTCTGTCTGTTTCAGAACCCTTGCCTCATCAGTGTTGTTCAGGTTTTCCAGCCAGTCTTGAGCAGGATTTTCATGATCTCCTACTTCACTACTCTTTCTCTTGCATCTCTCTTTTTTTTTGAGTGTGTGTTCATCTCTTGTGTATTTCCTGCCAAATGGAAAAGGTTTTTCTGTGCTTAACTCCAGATTGGTGGGATGGTCTGTTTACAGCCTCACCACCTCTGAGAGTCTATACAGGCTCAGTAAGAATGGGATGGTTCGAGAATATGCTTGTTACAGTGCCTCAGAGACTTGGATTTAGCATTTCCCAAACACTTGTTTATTGGTCTCACAGATTTCACTTCCCTCACATACAAGATGTGAAACTTTCAGATGTTTCTTGGAAAAATATATATTCTAGCTCACAATTCAATAATTTGTATTGGAATATAGTTTTATGAGTTATATAGGACTGCAGCTTTGCCAGGGGGAGATCATGGGGTGTGCAGTACTTTATCACAAACAAGTTGGCATACATTAAAAACAGGGAAACTGGGAAATGTCAAGCAAATTGAGGTACAGTGACCAATTCCTCCTGTGTTATAACAATGTAAGTAAGGCAGTTCCCAGTGCCTCAAGTCAATGTTCACAACTTTTAGTTTTGAGTGCTTTTACAACTTGAATAGATAGCTACTGAAATGCTGTGTGATTAATTACTACTAGTGTAGAAGAGAGGAAACTGCTTGTTAAACTTTCATTTATGTTCCACTTCCATCCCTTTTTTTTATTAAACTAAATACTTGTCTTCTGAAAAAAGTGTAATCGGGGATCAGTGATCAGTTTAATTTCCTACTCTGCCCAGTCTCTGCAGTTACAAGAGATTAGATGCTTTTTTCAAAACATTATTTGAGTAGTGTATTTCTCTCCTTAGAGCAGCAAAATCTTAATCTATGTTGGTTTTGGGTTTTATGTTCTTAGTAAAGTAACTTTGGACAGTGCTGTTTTTTCTTTTTTTTTTTTTAACTGCCAGCATTACCAGTGCTGAATTGCCAGTAGTCTACCAATGTTTTATCACACTCAGCAAAACAGCATAGAAAGCCAGGTGCTTTTCAGTTCAAAGGTTCCTATTTTCCATATATGATCTGGATTTTCCTACTTATTCATACATGCAGTTCTTAATACCAGAAATTTCTAGTTAGTTTAAGCATTTCCTTAACGTATTTTGGAGTCTTTAAACTAATTTATGATTTCTAGATCAGACTGTAGGAAATACAGGTGCTTTTACATGTTTGGTATATAGCATTTGTGCAGAAGAATTTTTGTGATTCTGAAGCTATTCTTGTAAGGAGGTTTATGGGCAGAGGCTGCTGTTGATACTTTTTGCAATACTTTACATTTTCCATGTCTGTCAGGTTACAGGCAGCCTAGATGAAGAACCATACATGATGTGTAACATGGTGTTTTAGCAGAGGTACTCAGCTCATTTCATGCTATCATATCAAAGATTTGTTATCTGCCCTGTGATTGGGAGAAGGTGGCCAAGGGACCACTAGACAGGGTCTTGGTGACTGAGCAGCTTTAACCGCCAAAAGTATTAGCCTCAGCTGTAGTTTGTTTTTTGCTCTCAAGAAACTTTAAACACAGTAGTTGTTTTTTTGTATTGCATGCTCATTTTTTTCAGTTTTTTTTTTCTTTTCAGTGTTTCAAGATTGTGGAGTGTATTCTTTGTAAGCAGCTTTGGCAGCTGAGTAAGACAACTAGACTGGAATGCAAAAATGAATTTGCTTAAAATAATTCCAGGTGCCTCCCTTCTGTTGTGTGGAGTTGGCTAGGCTTTGTTAGTGGAAGAGACAAGTCCAAAATTGACTCTGTGATTTCATTTAACTGGCTTATCCTTCAGACTTCACATAAAAACAAGCAATAAAGCCACTTTTTACAGAGCGGCTTACGCTAAATACTGCATTGAAGAATCAGCCTGTCTTCTGTGAGTGGGTGGCCATGCACTTACGTAGTCTAGTATTTACTCTCTGTGTAGATGGATTTACTTAGAATGGAAAAGGAAAACGTGGTACTCTGTGGTTTAAATTTTTAAAGTGGCTTGTAAAATGGTTCTGCAAAATTCAGAGAGGATTTTAACTCCTGTAATGATTTCAGTAGCTTTCCCCTGAAGTCTTATGCACAACACGTATTATGCAGGACTCCACATGATGTGGAAATTAGTAGCCACTTGGTTGTCTTTATTACATTTTTTTGTATGTTAATTTTGGAGCATAATGTTCTGTCCCAGAGAATTCGTCTCAGAATTATCCTCTTTGGATTTTACTGCCACGTGATTTTGTACTCAGTAGAGCTAAAGATACAAGGTGTACCTTTCTCACAACTGTTATCTCTGATACTTGTTCTCAGTGGAACTCTATATTTTCACTGTTTGACAGTGTATCTAGGCCCATCTTTCACTGAGAGGAGCTTGACTTCTTTCCCATAGGGAATGATATGATACAGTTGCCAATTTGAAACAGCAATTCTTTTCGAATTTCAGTTGGTAATTTAGAATGCTCTTAAAGATCAGACTATACCCAGACTAAGATTCCTGCCAAAATGAAGTGGAAGCTTAAATTCATTAGAAGTCAAAGCATATTTGAAAATGGAACAGCACAATTAAAGCATCCAAACAAATTACTGTAATGGAGTTGTGGTGGAAAAGTAAAACAGAAGAAAATAATATAAGGTGGCTTAAAAATTGAGTTAAATTAGTTTTAACACAGCGAACCCCTGTACTACCTTATTTACAGTGAGGTAAGTGATATACATTGACACTCAGAACCTTTGAAATAACATACAAAAATGTATTTTGCTTTTAAACATGAGATATGGCATCTAATCTGTAACGTCTAATACGAGAGTCTAGCTTTACGAGGTTCTTTTGTAAAGTGTGAGAGCTATAGAATATCATAAAATGGCTTGGATTGAAAAGGACCTTTAAACATCATCTAGACCTACTGTGGGCAGGAACATCTTTAACAAAGTCATATTGCTTTAGCTCCAGGCCCCCGTTCCCTGTCACTACAGGCCTTGGTAAAATGTGTCTTTCATATAAGCCTCCTTTATATATTGCAAGGCTGCAATAAGGTCTCCCTTATTCTTCTCTAGGCTGAGCAATGAACTTTCTGGGCCTTTCAGGAGAACTTCCCAGGAGAAGTGTGTGAGCTCTGGGGCCATTTTCATGGCTCGTTCTCTGCACCCACTCTAACAGGTTGATGGATATGTATCCAAACAAAGCTATTGTAATTTTAAAATGATTTTTAGATTTCATATTAATTAATACTGGCTTTTATTTCTTAGGCATCCCTAAAGAGCATTCTGCTATTTTAAAACTTCAGTTATGTTGTACTTCCATTACTACCATTAAGGCTGGTAGATGTACAGAAATGACTGAATTACTCTTGTCTCAAAAGACTGTACAATAGCTTGTGTGACTGCATTGTCATTTTTTTCATATGGCTCTCTAAAGATTAGAATATATGGAAGAAACTTTTTCAATTAGCTCATATGGGTTCTGATCAGTAGTAGTAGCAGCCTTGATGGATTTTTTTGTTTTTGTTACTAATCTATAATCTCATAAAATACTTTCACTTTATGTTGAAGTAACAATTGAGTTACTGGCTAGTGATAGTGTTCTGTGGGGTGGAAATAAATGCTGCATGAAATGTGTAGCACAGTGGCTTCTGTCTTGGTTTGTTTGGCTTTATACAGAGATGGATGTGCACAGAAATTCTCTGTATAAGATGATGAATGGTGGAGTTTTTTTGTGGTAACTAAAGTGGTTAAGGATTATTTTAATTTGCAAGCATCAACATGTTTCTTCTTTGCATCTGTGTAACAGTGCATCAAGAACTTGGTGATGGCTCTGAACAAACTGAAAACTAGCCATTGCCTAACTGATCACTGTGTTGAATAAAGCAACTTTATTTTTTTCTTGTTAATTTAAAAAAATGTTTTCTGAGTTTTTCTGCATTAAAACTAATACTGTAAATGGAAAGTAGTAGGTGAATAGAAGATGAGTCAAGGTGGATGATTTCTGTAAAATTTAATGAGTTCACTTGTCATCTTTTTCAGTATTTTTTACATGTACTTTATAGTACAGATGCCTTATTTTGGTAGTATTTTTCATGCAAATCCTCCCCTGTTCTTTTCTGTTGCACAGATTGGCCAGAGTTAATTGATTGAAATAGTGACTGCACATAGAACAATAACATATGAGTGGTATAAGGTTAGAATTTAGGCATTATTGTGCAGCTGCAACACTGAATGAGGCATAACTTATATGGGATTAATAAGTGAAATAATATTGGAAATTAAGAGACTCCAAACCCAGAAAAACAAATGTACTAAAAATTAAGGCATGGGATTATACTTACCATTGTTACTACTCATTGCATAAATTCTTCAATATGTAATTTTAAAACTCTTCTATTGGATAGCTATTTTATTTTGAAGATTTAGAAAATGCCTCCAGAAATTAAAAACTGGAATGCTCTTTATTAAAGATGTGACTTCACATGGAAATTGTTCAGTGCTACTGCTTATTGTTGAGCTGCAGTTAAAAGGAAAATTTAATGTTCATCTAATATATTCTGCCAATTTTTTTTCATTTTGAAATACACTCATGTTTAACAGATTTTCAGCATACCACTCGAAATAGCAGTATTTGGACCCCAGCTGAAAAAATAGGTGGAAAACCTTATAAGGGAGAAACATGCATCATTCTTTTGTTTAACAACTTGCTTCAACAGATTTTATATTTAGGGGTACATTTGTGTCGGAACTTCTTTTAAATTTTCATATGCTTAACAGATTCTGAAGGAAGTGGTCATGGGAGTGAAGATGCATCAAAGGACAGTGGTGAAGGTTCCTGTACTGAATCAGAAGAAAATATCTTGGAGGAGGAACCGGCAGAAAAGAAAGTAGAAGAGCAACAGCCAAAAAGTTCCACTGACGAAGAGATGCAAGCATCAGAGAAAGAGGTAATTAAAACTGAAAAGAAAGAGCAAGATGATGAGGAAGAAAAGCCAAAAAAGAAGAAAGAGAAGGAGAAAGCAGCTGAACCTGATGCAGTGGCTGATGAGCAAACAAATGAACCAAAAAAATGGAACTTGCGAAGGAACCGACCTTTGCTGGACTTTGTATCAATGGAAGAACTAAACGATATGGATGACTATGACAGTGAAGATGACAATGACTGGAGGCCTACTGCTGAGAAGAAAAAAGGAAAAAATGCACTGCGAAAAGAGGGGAGTGATGGAGATAACGAGGATGATGAAGATGATGGGAGTGGAAGTGATGAGGATGACAATGATGAGGAAGGTAATGAAGAAGATAATAGCAGCACGGCTAGTGATGGCGGATCCAAGAAGAAGAAGAGTAAAGTTCTTAACAGGAATAATGCAGATGATGAGGAACTGACAAATGATAGCCTGGCTCTTTCACAAAGCAAGAGTAATGAGGTAGTGCAACCAACTTTCTATAATATATCTATTGACAAATGGAAACTACTCCTCAGTAGCTAGTCTGTTAATTTGAAAAGTTAAACTGATTGGATGGAATTGTGTTTACAGGAATAAGAGAAGCAACAAGATTGTGCTAAATAGGCACTGTGTATTAAATAACTTTACCTGGACCATTTGGCCAATCTAATGCCACTGAAGTCTAGACTTCTCTTGGCTTTAGCAGGGGATTGAATTAGTTCTAGAGCAAATAGGAGGTCCAGTATGTAAATCAGTGTGTATTAGCAAGACTTCTGTTTCAACATAGATATAGCATACCTCTAATGTTTTAAAAGTTAAAAGCATTTGTGACCTATTCATAAAATAGCTAAATGATAGATTATTCTTTATCCTAGCCCTTCTTTCTGGCAAACATCAAAGTCTGAATACTCAAGTTCACTGATAGAAGAATTCTAAGTAAAGAAATATGCACGCTGGGTTTAAAATCAAATAGAATAATGATGATAATTTGTGTTGGGTTTGCTTATAATGCTCACAAATGAAGTAATTTCTTAGAGTACTAAAAAAGAATTTAGGAGCTATTATTATTATATTAAGTGTTTTCTTTTTGCAGAATGTGAAAATTATGTAAGTGTTTAATAGTAATGCGGCTTTTTCCTCTGCAATTACAGTTGCTTTGAAGTTTATGACCCTGGAAAAATTAAGATAATAAGTTGTCAGGATGGTTGACTTAGTGTCATACCATTGCAAAATTTTGAGCTGAGTAAAAAGAGTTGCTGTAAAACCTACATGATTTTCAGGGAATAATTTCAATCTCAACATAACATTTGATAAATGTTAGTAGTATGACACTACTTAAGGTTCTGCTTTTCCATTTAATCTTTATTGTAATTTGTAAAATGACAAGGAACTAAACAGAGTATTTGGAAGAATCATTTATCTCTATTCAAGATACTTTGTGATGCATTTTATGTATATATCTTTATATATGATTGTGAATGAGCTGTGCTGTTTTAATTACTAGTGATAATTGTGATTGGGGAAAAAATATAGCATAACTGTTCCTTTTTTAAAAAAAAAAACAACTTTTTGTATAAGCATATTCTTTCATTATCTAGTTCTGTAATTCTAGTATTGTTAATCATTCTCTTGGCTCAGGAGCTGGAAGTGCTCAGTACTGATGATCAGAACTTCCAGTCAAGACAGACATTTTTCTTTGAGAGTTGTTTCCCAAATCAGAATGGAAATGTGAGCCTGAATTCTTAGGGATATATTCTTGATTATATCCATATTTTCTATTGATTAAAAAATTGGACCTGTTTCAGAATCTCAGAGCTATCTCTGAATATTTTTCATGAAGCTTCTTAATATGCATAGACCTCAGATTCTGTTCTTTCCTTGGATTTAGGACAGTGATCAAAAGATAAGATCAAAATTTGAAGCTCAGATTATAGTTTTGTAACTGATAATTTCTCTACTGCATGTAAAGCGAAGTACTGTATACTAATAGGCATTTCACAAGAAGTCTTGCAACAATGAGTGTCTGTAGACTGGATTATAGGCTATAATTTTGAGTTTGATTCTCAACTGTATTGTAACAGTATACTCTCCATTACTGCAATATTTTAGAATTGTAAAAAAAAAAAATTCCTGTCTAAGAGACAGATCTGGGAGAATCTCATTGTGCTGCAGAAGATGAGTTCTTAGAAAACCAGATGTCTGAATACATAAATTGATTTATGAAAGAATGTTCAGGTAATTAACTGTGAACACATTTTAGTGTCCTTAATATACCATCTTCCTTCCCTTTCCTTACTTTTTAGGGGTGGATGTTGGAGGGATCTTGGGGATGGGTTGTTTGGTTTTTGTTTCTGTGCAATTTTTTTTCTATGTTTTAGAGACTTTCTTGAGGTCTGCATATATAGTATCTTAACCTGTGTTGTAATGAACTACTATGTGCTTTTCTAATGTATTAAGCACAAAATACAAACTTAAGTTTCTTTTCAAGGGTCAAGCATCATTAGTAGTTAAATGGTGCTTTTGTGTTTTTATATTTGCTACCACTTCATGGGTTTCTTCTAGTCTCAGTGAAGTGTTTATTTAATTTTTTTTAAAATTCCTTTAAAGTTAGAAGTATATAGGCATATGGCTGGAGATGTCCACTTTCTTCATTACCACCACATAGGAGTTACATAGTGATTCAGCTGAAATTCTTTCTCTCACCTGGGTAGGGAACAGGACTTGTTCAGCAGTTGGCAGCAGTTACCATCTCTGTGTAAAAGTTCCTATGCTAGACAAGTAGGATCAGCTTCTGGGATATGGGGTCTTTCAGGTGCTTACACAGACTAAGCAGGGGAGAGTACCATACGCTCCGGATCACTCCCTCCCTGTGTCTGCATAGAAAATTGTTATTCTGCTGTTCTGTTTGTCCTGTTGGCTGTCTTCACATAAGATAAACCATAATGGATGGGGATGCTAACATTAGATACAAATTTGTTGCCCTTCCATCATTGCTTGTTTCCTTTTATTTAAGCTAATTGTGGGTATTCTGAATAAAGATGTGCCACAGTATTTTTGAGAAAAAAAAACAAAAAACAAACAAACAAAAAAAACCTGCAAGTTAATTCACATTCCTCCAGATGCTTTGCAACTTTGTCCTAAAAGGACGATGTTGGAGGAAATGCTCCTCTATAAGTCTTAACCCTGTAGTGGAGAATTTGTATTTTTCACAAGTAGATGCCTTTCCGTGAGCAATCCTAACCATGTGAATAGTTGTATAACTTCCATTTCTACTTCTATATGAAGTGTTTTTTTATTGTAGGACATGTTTCATTACATTGCTTAGAGAAAACAGATGGGAGATTCAGAAGTGTTTCCTAACTGCTAGAAGTGTGTGTTTGACCTTTCCTAGGTCAAAAACATTATAACAAGCAACCTCTATTACTTGAAATAAACTATTTGGGCTCAGCTTTAGGTGGTAAGGCTATTTTACCCCTTTATCGTGATTTAAAATCAAGGAGTTATTTCCCCCCCCTTACCCTTGCAATACCAGACAAACCTAAAGTACAAGGAGACTTTGTTAATGGTTTGCTGAAAATTTTGTGAAAGGACTATCAAATTGAGAGGCTACCATGAAATATTTGTATAGATTAGTGTGAGAATTTAGGATCCTTGAAGAACACTACCAGCTTCAAGGTGGCATGCTTCATACTTTTTATCTGCTTCAGCTACACAGGCACAGTATTCCGTCTGTGTTTTATGCTGTAAATGGGGAATTAAAATGAGAAAAAGGTGTTTGAGAGGGCATCTTCCACCTTATCTTTATTTTCTTAAACTATTTTGTTTCCTGGTAGGGTATCAGAAGTTTTGGAATATTCTCAGGTCTCTGACATTTTGAATGGATGCCATTTAGGCTTGAACTGTCAGCCTCTGCTTGGAGACAGTTACTATGTCTTTATACTGCAATGCCTTTTTTTTTTTTTTTTTTTTTTTCCCCCCTTAATGTGCCTAATTTCACACTTCCCTAAATGCCTTTGTACCACTAATGAAGGTAGTTGAAGCTTAATGTTTGCTTTTGGTATAAAAGAAAATGTATGGAAGCCATGAAACTTTGCAGAAGAAACAGTGGCTGTGTCTCACAATGAAAGTAATAAGAAGCCTATCTGGTATTTCTGAAAAAAATTAAATTTACATACAGCTTTATTTGTTTTGTGAAACACTTCTCTGTGTTTCCATAGAGAAATTGCCTGTTAAAAGCCACATTTGTTTTAAGTGGTGTAGTTCACATTGAAGGTTGCCAAAACAGAGCAGTGTTGTTCTGCAAATCTTTACTCCTGTATATAATCAGAAGAAAATATGTTATAGTTTTCATAAATAATGTGGTTTTCCATAGACATGTAAATTTGCATTACAGTAAAATAGAACAGGGTTGATAATTTGCTACACTTTACACAAGTGGAAACTTGGCAGGCTTGTGTTAGCTGTTTATTTTCAGATTTTTTGGATCAATCTGACTTATTTTTTTTGAAAGGTACAAATTTTAACAAAATGAAGCAACTCTTTAGACTGTTAAGATATTTGAAGGTCACATTTGGCCTTGCTGCTTTTTTGTAGAACATAAATGGTTTGAAGAGCTAAATGGTTCTGTCTGAGGAAATAAGATTCAAAGGTCAGAGAAGGGTCTTAACAGATACATAGGTATATTGAGATCAGATTGTATCCATCCTTTCTCCCAGCTCTTATGTTTGTGGATGTTTGTGTTTTAATAAAAAAGCTTTTACTCTTGTGCAAATAATTTTCCATCTTATTTTGGTTTGTTATTCAAAAATTGAGCAAATAACAGGTTTTTCATTTGTTTTAAATAAGATGAAGTGCCTTGCATAATCCATGTGTCTTCATTTTTCAATATTAGGACTCATTGATCCTTGAGAAGTCTCAAAATTGGAGTTCCCAGAAAATGGACCATATTTTGATTTGTTGCGTTTGTCTTGGAGATAACAGTGAAGATGCTGATGAAATAATCCAGTGTGACAACTGTGGAATAACAGTGCATGAAGGTAATATAACCCTTCATTCTCATTGTGGGAGGAAAGCATATGTCCTTTTTAATTAAATTTTGATTTGATTTCTTAAAAAAACTCTAAGCCTTTGAACTCTGGGATGTAATGTTTTGTAATACTACATGGATTCTTTTTGATGGTCAAACATCCATCTACTTTTGCAAAGCAAATATAAGCAACTACATGGCAGGAAATGGTTTACAGATAGCTCTATGATGAATCACAGTCTGTAAATACTGGAATTATACATTGTATTTTCAGGGCTTTAGGATATTATATGAAATGTATTTCTGTCTTACCTATTTCAGTATATGAATTCGATAACTGGGTGTCTTGCCAATTACTAGGCCTGGCATGAATGACACAACCAGCAGAAAGACAAACCTGCAACTTGACTGTATTGAACATAGAAAAGTCATTCCATGATTAATTGCTGGGAGTACAAATAAGTCAATTAGTTCATACGCAATTGACCTCACCCCCAACAGTCCCAACAATGCTATTGCATGACTGACAATAGGTGGAACAAATAAGGAAATGAGGTGTCCCATAGACGGAATAGGAAACAAACAAGTCAACCGGTTAATCACATAGGATAAAGGTGGCAACATAGCCATCTCTCACTCTCCTAGCCCATGTTACAAAGGTCTAACCTGACCAGGGCCCAGCTCCAGGGAGAGTCAGGAGGTCCTTCCGCAACCAGGAAGCTCTGTGAAGTGCATCCGCTTCACAGATAGACACTCCTCCCTTCCTGCAAGTGGTCCCAGCTTTTATCCCCAAGCGGATTGTCAACTCAATGCAGGACCCCTGGGGCTCATTTCCCTTATGGCTCTCCCTGCAGGGCCGGCCTCACCCTGGGGGGAAGCTAAAAGGCAAACTCACCACCTCTTTATGAAGGGCTGTGGGAATCACCCATATGTCAACTTTAATTTGGGGCGTGGGGTTGAAACCCCAGCATTTCACTGGGATACAAAATCATGAGAATAGGAGGTCTTGTAAAAGGAAAGGTTTTTTTTTCCATATGTTTTTCCTGTACTGAGAACACAGACAGATGGGGATGCGGAGAGGAAGGAATTATCCGTGGCATTTATATGTAAGTGGAAACAGCCAGCCTTGGACTTCCTTGTAGTTTTCACTGGCAATTTGAAAGGGGGAAATTTTTAAGTTAAAACATACTCAAATCATTGTTTTGCTAATTCCTTCAAAATCTAGTCTGTGTGTTAAAAATGTAGAAGGTCTGGTTTTAAATAAAGACTTCTGAAATCACTCTGAGGTGAGCGTATGGAATTTTAATAGCCTTATGTGGAAGGTGAGACTGTGTTGTGCATTGCTTTTTCTTGAGGATGGAAGGGTAGATAGTAATGCAGAAGGGTGTATCTATTTTCTTGGGGAAAAAAAAAAACTTTTTTTTTTTTCATTAATCAGGTTTCTTGTTTGTTTGTTGGTGTGGGGTTTTTTTTGTTTGTTTATGGTTTCTGATAGCCTGTGCCTTTTTAGGGCTTCAATTTTTTTTTTTAAAGTTTCCTGGGAAAATCAGGCTACTTCAGTCCTCGAAATTAAGAGAGGGTAGGCTTTCATTCTTCAGAAGCATAAAAGGCATTTATTTAATTTATGTGACTCCATTTTAATATTTTTTTAAGCTGTTCATTATGACTTTTCAGGTAGGCGTTTCATTAATCCCCTACTCCTCTTGCTTTCTTATACTAGACTGAAAATTGTTTTAAACCAGTATTTTTTTCATGTGTTGAGCCATAGTTCAATTCTTTGCTTAACATCAATTAGGAAGCTAAGGATGTAATTTCTCGCCTCAGGTTCAAGTGCATTATGCTAAGAGTCACCATGTACTCTTAAGTCTTGAACTCCTGTTGGTGCTTTTGAAGAGCTACTCAGTAATGTCAATGGAGTTTAGAGAGCAATTTAGTTGACTTAATTTATGATGAGTCTATGTGCCTTTGAGATCATTAGTCAGGTCTTCATTGACTAAAACAAGTGTTAGACTCCTAAATTTAGATGTCTTGTTATGGTTGCGGAATGCCTACCTTTGTGTCTGTGATGTTTTTGGAAAGTAATTTGTAGAATACATTTGATTTGAGATGCAGTGACTAAAAATTGCTTTGATAGAATCTTGGTAGAGGTTTTTTTTTTTTACCTAGCACAGTCTAGTAATTCATGAGTAAACAAATGAAAGGAAGTGTCTAGTTAGAATTCGTGTTTGAGAATACTCCAAACATTGCATACATTCGGTACATCTAAATTCTAAAGCTTTGGTGTTCCCTGAAAATTCTTCTGTAAGACTTATTTGAAGATTGTTCAGTTAGTCATGTTAAAGTGCAGAGTGATTTGGATAGAAAAATAATCTTCTGCCTTTCTAGAATAAAATTATGGCCCATCTGTTTTTTATTCTAGAGGAATGCCTTAAAAATCCCCAAAAGATCACTTCTTCATTTTGTTTAGTTTACCAAACCTTTGTTCCCACAAAAGATATGACAAAGGTTATAGCTGGCTTTACTGCACAGGAAAACAGTTCCATATTTCAAAAGTCTCTTGAATTTTAGTAGTTCAAAATCTGCCTAAAAGTAATTTCTGCAATTCTTCTTTTTAAAGTGTTGCAGTCAAAGATTCCCTATAGTCCCACTGATATAAAGAGTACAATGTATATATCTTTCTTTTGTTATTATTGCAACAAAGTAAAATAGATTAATTCAGAAGATTTAAATTCCTGGTTTCTTCTGATAACTTCTACAGTCTGTACAAGCTAATTAACTATGGTTGTCGGTTAATTTTTCACACTTGTGGTTAACATTTACATCTTTAAAATTTATTTTAATAACAAATAATTAGTGTTTGTAAAGCAATTGTGAAGTTCTGTTTGAATAGGTGAAGTCTTAGAACAAACTAAGCAAGCTGTGTAATAGTAAAAAAAGTAAAAAAAATTACTGTGAAAGTAATGGTTGACTGAGAAAGATGTAAGCTTCCCCAGCAAGACATTGAACTTCAAATCTATAGTAAATGCAATTTTTCAGTTTACTTGAAGTTTTATGTGTATATCTCATTTCTGGGTATGTGTATAAATTTGTAAATACATGAGTATATTTTTAAGTAGAAATGAACATTTATTACAGTGGGGTTTTTTTTCCTGTACATTGATATTTTATAATGGTAAGTAAGAGCAGGTTCTATTTTAAGTTGGAGTTTTTTTCAGTAATTTGTTTCAGTAATTGCTTGCAGCAAATCAAAATTTAATAAAAAAAATTGGAACCTTTGAAACTTAGCTTGATTCAGTGACCTTATATATACACATGTTCAGTAACTTGCAGATTTCTGCACTTCTGCCCATTGGTCATTGACTCACTTGATTACTTCTGAATTAATGAATAATAAATGAAGACAGACTGTTATAAAGAGGTTGCAGTCAAAACCCAAAATACAACGCAACAGATTCTTTATGTTCCTGTTGGCATAATCATTCAACTCATGTGATTTCTGAGAATGAATTGAGAAGTAGTTGAAGAAATAATTACTGTCTAATCATATAATCATTGCTTTCAACCTTGAGAATTATTTTTTTAAATGTAAATAGAGGCAAGGTTTATTCTTAGTATCACTGAGTTTAATCTATACCTTGTAACTTGGGTTACAAGGTATACCCAGATCATGGTCATAGGCTGTATTTTAAGAAGTCTGTTGTACTTTTTACACAGGTGCTTTGTGGTTTGAAAAGTATATTCTATAACTGAGTGTATTTTGTGAACACATTGGAATCCAAGAATTTTTTGTTATTTTTGCAGGTTTCCTATAGTAAGTAGATTACTTTGTCTGCAGACACCATTCTGTGCCCTGAAATTTGTTCTAATTTCTGAGTTTTTGAGTTTCTCAGAAAATGCAGTTTTTAGCACAATTTTGAATGAAAAGGCTTCTATTTCTGAATTGGATAGAAATCAATGCAGTGATGTTTACCTGTGTTTGCCTGCAGTTGGGAAGGATAATATGGCCATTTCAAAGTGAAGCTTTGCCATAGCAAAGATACTTAGTCTTTTCCCTGGAGTCTCAAAGTCAAGATGCCTGTTATCGTGTAATGCCAAAACAAAGCTGCTGGAATGCTGCAGGGCTTTTCTTCATAGTTTTTGTATGCAATTTCAAGATGTATTATAAATTGATGTTTTCTTTACTTTACTATAGCACTGGTAGATACTTATTTAGAAGGAAGTGCACTGCTTTCACATCCTACTGGTGTCCCAGCTGGGAACCCACATAGTGATGGTATTGATGATTTGATTTTTCTTTCCCTGATGACCATATTTTCTCCTTGTTGACTGTTACACGAGCTGTTTTACTTCACAGGGAGGGGGTCTTATACCCTTAGCTTCTAACACCCCCCCCAACATGTGAAGGAACAGATGCAGCAAGACAAGCATCAAGTGTCTATTCCTGTTTCCGGTGGTGGTATAAATTTTGGAACAATTGTTTTAAAGCTAGCATTTTAAAATGTTTGCAACTTCATTGTAATGACAATCACATAAAAAATAACCTATTGACAGAGTACAGTGGCTGTAAAATCAGGGAATAAAACCGGTTGTTTTCTGTATAAAATGGCATGTATTCAATAGACAACTTGGCTGTAATTGTAATATATGGATGCTCTTTGTGGAACAGTAAATGTTGTGAGGATTTTAACATCTTGACTTTCATGTGTTTAAATTTAATAAGCTAATATTACACTAAACCATTGTTATTCTTTAGTTTAAGAGTTATTCAAGGAGGTAGCAGGCATGGAGTTGTGATAAAGTAATCTAAGAATATACCAACATGAGGATTTAATGAACTTCAGTTGAGAAAGGTCTCTCGGGTTTTCTAAAGATCAAAAATTTAGAATTCTTTGTCAACATTTAGGAATGGCAGTGTGCATTTTAAGTAGTGTTTAAAAGCTGTTTTATTTTCTTCAGCATATTTTCTAGTCAAAGGGGTGAGTGATTGACTTAATGTTGCATAGGTCACAG